ATAGAGGTTTTATTTTCACTATTCAACTTTGGAGAATCTTTTTCAAAAGTACTCTTCACACCAACACCAACATCAGCGGTAACAGTAGAATTAAAATTATTTAGCTTTACTGATTCATTTTTTTGACTTTTATCGTCATCTGGTTTATTATTATTTATATGTTTTGAAGAAGACAATGGTGATGAATCATTGTTACTTTTATTGTTATCGTTATCATTCTTATCATGATTCTTATTATTCTTATGATCACCAATATTATCAATATTATCAATATTATCAACATTATTGTCGTCGCCATCACCATTGTTGTCGTCATCATCAGCATTATTCTTTAGATCCTCAATATTTTCAAAAATAGGTTTTGTAAAAACTTTTTCGCTGAAAACTTCAGCAGGTTTAACTTCAATAACTTTCTCATTACGTAAAAAAGGACTATCATTTAAATGAACGCCGATTGAGAAATTTGATAATAAACCAGATGATGATTTCTCTTTTTTAATAGGCTTTAAATTATTTTTTTGTGATCTGTCACTATTATTATCATTATCATTATCATTTGGTGTAACAGGTGTTGCATCTATTATATTTTCATCATTTTCATCAATTTTTCCAATTTTTTCTTTATTATTATTATCGTTACCATTACTATCACTGTTATCATCATTGTTATTATTAATCAAATCATCTAAATTGAGAGATAGTGATTTTTTTATAGAGTGGTATGTTGTTGTTGACGGTGGTAATGGTGATGATAATGATGATGATTCATTGCTATTGTTATTACTATTATTAAGAAAATATTGTAAAACCTGAGCTGGTATCTTCTTAAACGCCTTTTATATCTTCCATTTGATTCATATAACTTATATAATTATAATATTTACATCGTGCACATTTTTGTCTGTAACCAGGCAGGTTCAAAACTTCCTGATGTTAATGGTCTGGTCCAGAATAAATGAACCGCGGTCTGGTCTTAGTATCGAGATCTTTTTGGATCATTGAATTTTTTTTTTAATCATAAAAGCATTTATCTCAATTTAATTTGTTAAAAATACAGTTCACTCTCTCTATAACGGCCCGCCTGATTTGGCAAAAAAAGGCCGTTATAGAGAGAGACCGTTATAGAGAGTTT